GCCTGGGCATAATGATACACCTGTAATCACAGCGTTCAAGAGGCTGAAGCAGCAGGATCACTGTAAGTTTAAGGGAAGCATGAACTGCATAGTGACTTCAAGGCCAGTCTAAACTACATAGCAAGACCTTGTCTCAGAATCTAACAGAAACAACAAAGCAAAACAAAAAAAAACAAAAAAAGCTGGTAATGGATTTTTTCATGCCTTTGATTGTTATTTACTTAATTAATTTTAATTTATTTTTCTTGTATCATTTAAAAATATCAGTCCACAGATGGAACAAAACTAAAATGAGTTAACAAATAAAAACTCTGAACATATCTGTTCTTTCCCACAAACAGTTTGAGAAGCAATGCTCAGTAGCCACAACTGTGAAGTGGATCTGTTTCAGGCCTTTTCCACTGATTTCTCTGCAGTCTCTTTTGAGAATTGCTCATCACCAAGTGTCCAAGACTGATAAACCCTTCCCAGCCTCAGGCGCTTGAGGTCAGGACTTGGCAGAATTTCTGCAAGTCCCTCCCTTGTACCCCCAAATCCTGTAGTCTTTGATTTCTATCCAATAATAGTTTAGCTAATTTGATAAATGAATCTGCTAACAATTATGGTGAAACTAAGGAAAGTTTGATAACTTTATAAGTAGGGAAGAACATTGGCACACTGTATGATGATATTATGTCTAAAGGTTATAAAAAATGTAAATCTACCACAGATTATAGCTGTCTCTCCTATGAGGGCCTCAAAGTGAACAAACTAAAGAGAAGTTGCAAAGGAAAGCAAGTATGCCTCAACACAGAGTAGGGGCTTTGGCTTTAATGCAGAGAAGCTGGGTAAACTTGATTAAGGTATATGGAACATGGCCTTGTTCTAAACTACTTAAATATAAGTGCTTCAGAAAACTGCTTTCTGATTTTCTCTTGGTAGAATGATGATGATGTTGAAGGTGAAACCCAGAAGAAATCTGTTTTATCTTTCTCCATTTCAATTTCTTTTTGGAGACAAGATCTCACTATGTAATATAGTCTGGTCTTGAACTTGCTTATGTATCTTAGGCTGATCTCAAACTCACAGAGATCCTCCTGTCTCAGCTTCCAGAGTGTTGGGCTTACAGGGATGCATCACCAAGCTTGGCTCCATCTCAACTTTTAATCAGAACATGTTTTACGTAGTAATTGTCTTCCTTTATTTGATATGAAGCTGTTTTCCAATCCACTGTTAATTGTGCATCATAATAGTAATTTTAACCTCTTCCCTTTTCGCTCATCTCCAAGTCAGTGAGGAAATTACTGCAATGGATGAGCATTGCCTTGAATACAGGTCTAAATAGTAACCACAAGAAATTCTCTTAAGAATGTGTCAGAGAGGAATGTCTCAGTACTATAGGAGCTGGCTGCCTAGTCATTGCTGTCCTTATCTCAAATTTTTCTTCTAAGTCTCAAGCTGCCCTCTTGGGACACCACTTCTCTTCCTATTCTTCTGGGTGGTCTTTGATGTTTATATGCAGAGTTCATATGTCATAGGGGGAATGAAGGAAATCCTATATAGCGAGATCACTGTGCTGTCACTGGACGAAGGCAGATCACTGAGTCTGTCTGCAATATTTGTCCTAAATGATTCATATGTGTGAGAATTGGGGGGTGGGAGGTTATAGGAGTCAAACTAGAACCTTGCACTTGCCAGACAGGTGCTGTTCCACTGAGCTTATCCCTGGCCCTGTAGGAGAATCCTTTAGCAGGTATCACTGCTGAAGGAAGGGTTATAGCCTTTACCTCTCTCCCATGCTCTGGTCTTGGTGGGATACTAGACTTTAAAAGAAGAAGGTGAAGACTTACGAACTTGGTAGTGCTTTAGAGAGGAAAACAAGGTCAACATGTAGGTCAAGGTAAGGGGAAAATATCAGGAAAAAAGACAAAGTGATAAAAACAGACAAGATGTAGAAAGAAAAGGGAAAGGAATAAACTATTGTCAAAAAAAAGAAGGAGATAGTCAAGTGAGGTTGGAGGGCTTTATAACAAATCACTTCCAATTATATTTGACCATCTCAGATGCTGAAATGTATCCCATGCTAAATATATCATCTCTTTGTAATAGAAACAGGTCTCCCAAAAGAAAAAGTGTATTATATTGAAAGCTGTTGAATCATTTAAACTATTCAGAATGGTTTTAAAAATTCAAGTCAAAGCAACAAAATAGTAAATATTTTGAAGGGGATACTGAAGTTCACTAATTCATGAAACACAGTCTACTGGCAGATTAGAAGTAAATAAGTATTATTAATTAACTAATTTAATATTCTATGATTTTTTAATTGATAGTGAAATAATACTTCTGAAATGATAGACTTAAAGGTCAATTAATGATTGATCCAATGTCACACACAGATACACACCCAGGTGCACACACACACAAATCCATGGCAAGCACACAAGTACGCTGAGTCCTTGTCTCCATCCAACTTCTAAGTCTCTATCCTTTGAGTATTTGTCACAGATAGTTCAATGTAGGTAATTCGACAAAGTTTGGGGGTAGTTCAAGTTCTGAATCAAGTGTTTTCTATGAAGAAATCAACTCATCATAAATGGAAACATAGAGGTAATTAAATAAGGGTTGGACTTGCTCTTGTCTTTAGGATTTCAAAGAGCCTTTGAGTACTGAGGTGTACTTTAGCAACCGAGGGGATATATGGTGAAGTAATATGCTGAAATTTCTCAATCTTATAGGAATCCAGAGCATTTTTTATAAAACATATCAAAGCATGTGATTCCATTGGGGATGCTTCATGCCGGTAAACAGCTCAAGTCAGGAAGCAGCAGCCAGCCCTGCACCTGCAAACACACAAGTCATCATCTGGGATGCTTCCCACCACTGGTAGCCCATGTAGGCTGGGAAAAGCAGCAGCCAGCCACACACCAGTACACTCAGTGACCATCATTGGAGACCCATAGCCAGCACTGGCCAGGGGAGCCAAATAGTCACACTTTGAGAAATTGTAGCCAATGCAGGAAGTGCCTGGGACTCCACTACCTGCTTATCCAGAAGAACTCATGAAAATATCAGCATGTGAAAACACAATGATATAAAAAGACTTTTGGCAGAAGTAATAGAAGAAAACTTCCCTAACATGGGAAAAGGACTTAGCATGAGATAAGCAAGCCATAACCAAAGTAAATCTGCACTCAAACATACGATAATCAAGATACCAGAAATTCAGCACAAAAACAGAATATTAAAAGCTGTTAGAGAAAAGAAACTGGTCACCTGTAAAGGAAAGCCAGTCAGAATCACAGCAGACTTGCCATCAAGTCAAGAAGAGTTTGGAGTGAAGTGTTTCAAATCTTGGAAGAGAACAATCTCCAACCCAGATTGATATAACCTGCAAAACTATCTTTCAAAATTGATGGAAAAATAAAGATACTTCCATGATAAAGAACAACTGAAGGAATTCATGACCACCAAACTAACCCTAGAGAGTGCTGAAGGATATGCTAGACAGATAAAGATGGCCATCATTTCAGGAACAGAAGCAGAGGGGGATTGTCAAACAGGACAGGCAGCTGAACAAAGGGGAAAAGTGGAGGGCTAATGGCAGGAGGACAGCATGGCAGAGATGAACCAGTGCATACAGGTTGTGGCCAATAATGTAGATTGCTTCAGTTCACCAATAAAAAGAAACACAGGGAGAGTGGATCAACAAAGAAGATCCATCAATATGCTTTATAGAAGAAACATATTTAACTTGAAAGGAAATTCATAGACTGAAAATCAAAAAAGAGAAAACAATTGTTCCACAGACAGGAGACCAGCTAAAAGCAATAGTAACTTGCTTACCAGCCACAGAATGGATTAGAAAGAGATGGCATTTTCATGCAGTGAAAAACTACCCAACTTTAGTAAGATAATCTTGAGTCTTTTATAGGTAAATGGATACAACTTGAGATCATGTTTATAGGTGGAATGGTTTGTACTCACATGGGTGTTCTCTCCTTAATGTAAAAAACTAAAAGAGTTAGTGGAATCCAATAAGCACAACAGAATTAATGAAAGTGATAGGGGAGGAAACAACTAAAGAGGGAAAGTGGTAACCACTGCTGATTACCTATTATTCCTAATAAATTAATGTATCATTTTCATAATTTTATTAGGCTTGATTTTTTATTCTGTCATGTTGTGTTAGATTTCACTGTGCCTGACAGCTTTGAAGACAATAGGATATATTATGGTAATCATGATTGGTTTCCTTTATCTTGTTTTCAAGTCCTATAATGCTTTCATTCTTTTGTTTTGATTGGTTTTATTCTGTTTATTTTATTTTATTTTATTTTATTTTATTTTATTTTATGTGATATTATGGACAGCTATTTTAAAGAAAATGGGAGACAAATGGTAACCATTGTTGATTTTCTGTTCTCTTGTTTTGAAGTCCTGTATTGCTTTCATTGTATTGTTCTGACTTGCTTTATTCTGTTTTGTTTTATTCTCCTTAAAATTAATAAATTTAAAACAATGAAAATTTAACCAAATTTGGAGGAAATGATTGGACCAGGAATAAATTTGCTGCAAAATATATAGGTCTCTCTAAATGACATTCAGACTTACACGAACCACAATGTAAAGGAACCATGATCTATGCAAAGTTCTATCTCTTTGTATCACAAATCTAAGCCCAAATCAAAAATAGATGGAAATTAGATTTAATAGGCACCATTTTATGCCATGAAAAATAGTAGCTATTGCTTTAGAACAATGAACATCTTTGAACTCTGTCTGACACTTCACTAGGTTCTTATGGCTTGGATTTTTTCATTCTTCCATCATTTATCACTCAAGTATTCATGAGAATATTGGAGATTGTTATCGCCAGAAGACAGTTCTTTACTGTACACATGCCCATCCTCCCCACCAAGAAACACTAAAAGCACAAACCCAAAAGTCTCCAAAGTGACACACACTTCTAAAATATGTGTGAAAAAACTAAACCATAGCACATTTGTGGTCAGAAGGTTAAAATTTGCAAAAACAAAACTCAGCTTTCAAAATCTCCCTTCATCAGATGAATCAGTATTTCATCTGGAGTTCTTAAGTCTAAGTCATTAAAATGACTAATTATTTTTCTTTTTTTCTGTTTTGCTTGGTGATTGGGATTTATGTGATTCCAGAATGTAAGTATTTCCTATTCCTACAACACAGAAACAGTAAGTGAATTTCTAGTGATTGTGTTGTTACATTATGGATGAATAAAATTTTCATAACTATTTCTATTGCTCACAACTCTTACATTTAATACAATTGTTCATCAGTAGAAGTATAATTACTATTATGTAGAGCTGCAATTTTTTAATCCTTGAAAATCATATAGTGACTGTTATCAGCAGAATTACATGTAACTGCTTGGATCTTTTATGAGATCTTTGGTTTTATTTTGTAGGTTTCTCCATGGAGATTGTTGGCGGGAAAGAAGTGGCTCCTCACTCCAGGCCTTTCATGGTTTCCATCCAGTCCGACAGCAATCACATTTGTGGAGGAGTCCTGATCCACCCACAGTGGGTGCTGACAGCAGCCCACTGCCGCTTTTTGTGAGTCCCCTATGCTTTTCCATGTGTGTGTTGTTTCTTTCAAATTAGCTAGGAAAAAAAAAGGCCACATGTCCTGGGTGAGATCTGAGCTGTCTTAGGCTTCTGTGATGTCTGACCCTGGCGGGTGGGTAGGGCCTACTTCTCCTCTTACACATCCGTGTGTTCTACCCTGGGTTTTCTTTTTTGGAAACATCTGAGCCTTCTTTTCCCAGGCAAGCCATTAAGCAAACACAAGTCCTCAGTCAAATTCCTCAGCAAGTACAGAAACTAATAGTAGAAGTAGCCATTCAGGAGGCAATGAGACAAATTGAGCTTGCTCTGTCCTCTTCAGCTTCCCCATTTTACAAATAGGAATTAATCGTAACAGTATGGCAGTCTCTCCTTATCCATGATATATGTTTCAAGACATTCCTAAGATGCCTAAAACTTCTGGTAGCATCAATGCTCTATACACTATTTTTTTATACATGTATATTGATAATGAAGTTTAATTTATAAATTAAGCACCGGGGCTGGGGATTTAGCTCAGCGGCATAAGCACCAGCCTTGCAAGCAGGCAGTCGTGAGTTCGATCCCCGGTACCGATAAAAAGGAAAAAGACAAAAAATATATATATATAAATTAAGCACCATAAGAGATTAATAAGAACGTTAATAAAATAGAAGTTATGAAAATACGTTATATAAAAGTTACTCAAAATTTACAAATTACTTATTTCTTGAGTTTTCCATTCAATATTTTCAGCAGCATTTGGTCACAAGTATCTAAAATTACAGAAAGCAGCACTGTGTACAGGGGAGACTACTGTGCCTGATTTGTGGGTTTTTGAGAATCGCATGTTATATATTTAAGTACTTTAGCAGTTCAGAGCATTTAGTAAGCACAGAAACATTGCAACCAATATCATGTTTGAGAAATTTTCTCTGCTTGCAGACTTAGGAAGTACTAAGCCCCATCCCTTATCCCAGACATCTGAGTCCTCTGTTAGGGAATCACAGCCATAAGAAGCAGCAACATTTCCACATTGTGGAAGAAGGGGATTTAGAGAGGATTTCTAAAGGTCAAAAACAGAGTAAATGATTTTTTCTGAAATACTTAGAATGAAAACTTTTCTGAAGACAGACCATAACCTCCTAAAATCTATTTCAGAGCCTCAAGTGCTTCAGCTAATAAACTATAAAACCCATCTCAGGATCTGCAACCATTACATAGAAAAAACAGTGGAAAACAAATTTAGAATTTGTTGTTTCTGTCATTTGTTTGGATTCCCTGGTTTTGCATTTTGTTTGCCCTCTTTGTTTCCTGTCAAGTAAACTGAGATGGTTCTTTCTTTAAGAATGGGACAGCACTTCACTGAGAGTGTCTTAGCCCCTATGGTTGATTCACTTGAGCACCAGCAGTGTCTTAGCAAAACAAATGAGTTGGCTTGCTTCTTCATGTTTTAGGGTGGTGCCTGATGGTCCTATTTTAAGGGACTGTTTGGACACAAACAGTTTTGAAAACTACAAACAGAACAGCTTATGCTCTCAAGACCAGTGAGGCAGAGAGAGGATGACTGTCATTAAATGTTCAATCGATGCAAAATGCACACATCTTCACAAATGCTTTTGTCCACATTTAAGTGAACTATAACAGTGGTAGTTCACGTTGCAACAGTAGGCTATTATCACTGAAATCTCTAAAGTTCATCACTAGACTATCAGCTCCTCAGACTAAGAACTGGAGTTATAAATGCTCAAAATGTGATAGATGGAAAGAAGGAAACAAATTGGAGGATACTGTTGTTGATGTTGGAAAGCTTAAAACAAGCCATAAGTTACTATAGGGAGGTAAACAACATTAAGTTGTATTTCACATTTTGTCAAGTGTACTTAACTCAAGAGAAGTGGATTCCCAAATTAGGAGAAAGAGAATATTTTTAAAAGACTGAAAAGAGGTCTTGGAATTTTTAAAAAACTATGATAAATAGCCTTTCAAGTGGCTGGAGTATAAAGAACTCCAAAATATGTGGGTCAAATTTCCTCCACAGGACACTCTGGTGTAAAAATGTAGGCACATCAGTGCTTGGAAAAATATTAAGCCTTATGAAATTCAAAACATTTATGAAATAGTTTAATGGTGGCTTCCCGCAAGCATACTCACAAATATCCTAAGGGAACAGTTGCTGACTCCAGGCCTCTCTTTCAGCGAGGTGCAGTGAGCCTAATCTGGCCATGTTCCCGTCTCACTGTTCACCCACTCAGCTCCTCCCTTAGCACCGTGGCCCCTTTACTAGTTGCCCTGTCATAAAACAGAAGGGGTAAAGCAGCTTCCTGTGGAATCTCATTTGCAGCATTCTCATTTATGAGAAGTAAAACTCTTGCCAACTGCTGTTCCCCGTCCTCCAAGGGATCCTTCACTGCCCTCCCTCACTGAGGACTTCCTAACCCCATTACCTGTCTAGATGACACCTTCTGAAGCCCCTTCCACATAATGTTATTGTGTCTCAAACTTGCTGAGTAAAATGGTGAAATTGTCAGGCTGCAGGCTCACCCAGCTGAGTCCTAATCTTGACTTGGTGTATATCCTATTGCTTCCCCCTAATATCTATGGGACAATGTAAAGTTTCTTCATATATTTGAACCTCAGCTTCCTTATTTGTAAGACAGACATCATTATAACTCCCACATCATAAAACTAGTATGAGGGAAAATGTTTAAAATGCTTAGCACCATGGGGCTGGGGATTTAGTTCAGTGGTATAAGTGCCTGCCTGGCAAGTGCAAGGTCATGAGTTCAATCCCCCATACCAAAAATAAAATGCTTAGCACCAGAATACAAGACCTGAATATGTTTCCAAGTAATGTAATATTGCTCTTTGTGCTTCCCATAACTAAGGGATGAATTTGATGAGCCCACTTGTGTTGCAGAGACTGAGAAAACTTCACCCTCTGAGGCAAAAGAGACTTTCAAGAAATAGGAACCCTACCTTTCCTACCAGACCTCAAGAGTGGTTGTAAGCAGAAGCCTGCTTAGCACCAACACAGGCTAAGAAAATAAGAGACTTGACTGGCTGGCATGAGTCTTTAAAAAGAAGTCAAGGAAAGATGACTGGAGTTACAGTCACAAAGAGTGGATTGGGTCCTGATTCCCCCACTTATAAGATGAGCTGCTTTGTAGTAGTCAGAGAATGTCCTTTTACTGATGATGAATATATACCTAGTGGCTTTAGCACCGCTCAGAAAGAGATTATTAAGCTCAGGTAAGACTATATTTTCAGATAGCTTCAGCAGACTATGAAAAAACTTGTTACAAGCAACATTGTAGTTTCACTCTATATGTAATACTATTCTAGAAAGTCCAGTTGGGACCCAGAGAGCTCCGTTTTAAACAAGCATCTTCAGGTGACTCCAAAGAGGTTCTAAAGACCACACTGTATATTACTTTTCCTAGGCAAATTCAGATCTAGGTTTAGCTAAAGAGGTTGAACCCTAGAGCTAATATAATTTCAAGTATATGTGGACATATTACAGTTGAAGGGTATCTAGAAATTCGTAGTTCAGAAAACAATGATCTGCTTGTGTTGTTTTTAGTATTATCCTATCCCAGTGTTATTTCAAAGACAATGTCTAGTTAAGAAAATGAGTAAAAGATGAAAAACACCTAGAAATTTTCTAGCATCATTCCATTTCACTAGAACTCACCTTCCATGACCCACATGCGGACCTCACAGCCCTCCCTGGGTGTTGTTTATGTTCATGCCCACAATTCTGTTAGAGCGTTAATCCTAGGGATTTTTCTAAAGCTCCAAAGTTTTGGAATGGGTATGTGGAATTTGAATCAGTCCTAAGAAATCCAATCTACATCCTATGAGAAATTTCATCCCCTGATTTTGCAATAAGCAAACTTTTCAACAAATAGAGCTGAAATTTCCAAAAATAAACTGGAATCATTTGGTAGAAACCCTGAAGTGGTAATTCCAGGCAGTCACAGGTCTACTATGTGAGAATCCACCCCACAGCAGTCACGTACACAACCTCTCTAAGTCTTGAAATAATCATTTCTTCCTGTTTGGTGCCCTTTTAAATTTTTATGAGTATGTATACTCTTACTGAATTCTGCCGTGATCTCTTTTTCAAATAACAAAAACACATTTACATGTAAATGAATGTTATATTTTATAACCTTTCTTATTTCAAAAAAGGGTCTGAGGTAGCCTCCATAAGGACTCATATTGCAATGGAATATATCTGCAGCATATAACTGGCTCCAACATGTCACCAAAATCTCCAAAAAAATTCTATATGCATCATTGGCTGTACATGTAATTATATCAAGCATACAATAAATAAGGTCAATTGTGGCATTACTGAAACATTAGTATTAGAAATATATACAGAGATTTTTGAAAACAAAATCTGTTTCTTTACAGAAACTCCCAAATTTGTACCTTATAAATCTTCACAATAGAATTATCAGCGTTTACAATCCTTAATGTATCTTCACTTCAAATTAGAAATTTTAGGGCTGGGGATATGGTTTAGCAGCACAGCATCTGCCCGGCAAGCTTGAGATTGTGAGTTTGATTCCCAGAATGAAAAAAAAGAAAAAGAAAGGTTTTTCGACCTTGAGGGAAGTTTTGCCTTCTTGTCTAAATAATCTTTCTAATTAAAGGGGATAAAAGTTTTGAGCACATTGGAATGTCATGAAAGAGGCCCCATCTCGCCCATTGTGCACTGCAACATACAGATGACCGTGGGAAGATTTGAATATATACCTTAACTATTTTAACACTTTTGCTGGAAAATTAAAAAGTTCTGGAGATGAATGATAGTGATGAATAGATATGGTACAAATGTACTTAATTGCCACCAAAAGTACATTTTAAATTATTAAAATAAAATATTTTATTATATATTTTACCACAATTTTTTTTTCTTTTGGTACAGGTCATTAAACTCATGACCTCACACTTGCCAGGCAGGTGCTTATGCATTACCATGATTTTTAAATTCTTGAATGTAATTGTTATAAATCTCAAACCACAAGCTCAAAAAATATAATTTCCTTTATTTTTATATAAATGAATAGCAATTAGGATTTCACCCTTCCTTTCTCATAATCACATACAAGTTCTGATATTATTTTACAGGGCAGGACAATTGGGCAGAGGTGGAGTTTGAGGGAAAAGCCATTTGGCCCTTCATGTTACTCATTAATGATGGGAACCACTGAGACCTCACTCCACGTAATCCTCAGTTACCTGGGCTTTTGTCCTTGATTCAGTATGTACATAACCCTTTCTGACATTTTTACCCCACACCAGAGAATTCAGAAATCATTATTTTTACTTTCATTCTACTTACTTCTTTAGGTTTGTCGAAGGCCAGCCTTCTACAGTGGTTTTAGGAGCACATTCTCTCTCAAAGAAAGAGCCCTCCAAACAAAGGCTTGCAATTAGAGAACTCATACCATTCTCAGAACAATTATCAGATGACATCATGCTGGTAAAGGTATGTAACATTGCCTTTCTTCCATTTCTCCAACATTCTTATACAGTATGACAGCTAAATAAACTACATGGAAATATTTCATTTGCATTTACCCCATATTTTAAGTGATTATGACGTATTCTATAAAGTCTCATCTTACTCCATGTACTACCTAGAAAGAAACAAAACTCTACCATAAATGCAATGGGGACATGTTTATAGAAACAAAATCAGATCTCATATTCACACATGTTAATAGGGAGCATACTTTTGGTTAAAAGGGACCAACCAACAGGCCTAAAGATCCAAGTGGAAAGCTTTTTCTCAAATGCTTTTCTCATTAGCAATTGAAAATCACAACCATCATTTATACAACAGAGCCAAATGAGTGACTTCAGGGACTCAGAAGTGAGTTATAACTTAGTCTAGACCATACTTTGTCTAGTTCAAATACAGTCTAAACCATACTCAAGAGTCCTATCCAGCAGGAAACAGCCCAGCCCTTGAAGTCATGACCTATGGATATCATTCCACAGAAAACCATCCAAAGCAGGGCAAAGGTCAGTTTGCTCCAGACTGGGCAGAATTCCTGCTCTGTATAATTCCCTCCAAAGTATCACTGAGCTCCACGGGGAATACAAAGCATGTTCAGAACAGCAACAACCACAAATACAGCTGCAAGCTACCACCAAAGTAGATTCAAGAACAGATGCCCTCCTATGACAGAGGGACCACACATTCAACACACAGGGTAACTGCAGAATACTGCCGAGAAAGAATGATAATTTGTTTTTTGATCTGTCAGCTTCACACAGCTGCAAAACTCAGCAAGTATGTCCAGCTACTCCACCCAAGATCCAAAAACTCTATCAAAGATGGAACCAAATGCCAGGTTACTGGCTGGGGGGCCACCAACCCAGATGTTTTAGAGAGCTCTGATACTTTGCAAGAAGTCACTGTTACCGTCATAAGTCGAAAAGTTTGCAACAGTCAAAGTTACTACAACCACAGACCTGCTATAACAAAAGACATGATATGTGCAGGAGATGCCAATGGCCAGAAGGATTCCTGCCAGGTAAGGATTGTTGGTTCAGACAGGCATTGCAGGGGGCTGTGTAGCACTCAAAGTTCAGTTTGCCCATTCCCACAAGGGAGAGGAGTGGAGAATACAGAGTCACGAGTTCAAAAGACCTACTCTCCATGCCTGCACAGTGTCCTCTGCTGTTTTTCATTTTCCTGTGTAAAAGAGAAGAGTTTCTCCAAGGCTGGAAAACTGCTCATTAAATAATTTATATTCAGAGTGATAGACTATATCTGACAACTCTTACAGGTTTATGAGGGGTTTTGCCATCTTTAGAAAGTCTACAGACCCTAAGGTCACTAGTGTTGATTAGAAGACAGTGTACCCAAAAAAGAATCATTGACATTTATTATTAGGGCATATTACTTATACTGACCATCTGGTTACAGTGTGTGACATTTTTATACATGTGTATAACATAATTCAATCTGACACACACACCCACTACCCACCTTTACCCTCTCCCCTCCCCTTTCCCCATCTCTTTCCTCTCATCTAATAGTCTCCCTTCTGTCATGAAAGAATCTCCTTTTAAATCAATCCATAGAGAGTGCTTCCAAAACTCAAATGCAAAAAAATTCAAATACACAGAATTATCTGGGTTTCTTAAATAATGCTGATAGACTGTCTTAGACAGTTTGGGCATCTATCACAAAATATCATCAACAGAACAGCTTATAATTAAATTTTTTCCACAGTTCTCAGAGCTAGCAAGTCCAGATCAAGATGCCAATGGATTTGGCATCTGCTGCTTTCTGCTTCCCTCTAATTTCACTTGGCAGAAGGGGTGAGGATGCTATCTCTGGGCTTTTTATAAGGACCCTCATCCTGAGGTAGGATAGAAAAATAAAGATGTAGAAAGGAGACAAACAAACCTTCGTTTTTAATTGTACTTTTAAGAAAAACTGCAACTTCAGGGCACAAAATTCATTCAGGCATTTTTCCCTTAAAAAAAAAAAAAACTTATTCAAAAGCAAATTTTCTTTACGTCCTTAAAAACAATAAGCCTTTCTTGAGGGCTTCTTCTCTTTAAGTGTGTACTTTTTAAATTCTAGCTAATAAATCTCTTTATGTCTTTAACTGACTCCTTTTAAAAATTTTTCTGAGACATTAATCAGAGAACCCACAACCTACTTCATAGGTGAGGTGAGTCGAGGTCTTCTCCACTTTGGAGGACCTGCTTGGACCTCATCTGCTGTCTCCTCCATGACTTAATCCCTTCCTAAAGACCCTGCTCCCTCACACCATCACATTTGGGGGTGAGGATTTCAGTATGTGGGTTTGTGTGGCTGGGAACAGGGCACGGCAAATATCCAGACCACAGCACTGACTGACAAAAAGGAATAATTGTCACTGTGCTTTAAAATCTTCTTAAAATTACAATAGAAAGGAGACTATAGAGTACAAGTATTGGGTACATGTTCAGAGATAACTAATACATAGCACAGATGAATTAGTAATTTTTAAAAATTAGAATACAAACAATATTCTCACCTACTATATTAGACACTATTGGGAGATGTGATGAGGGGAGGACACAATCCTGTGTATCTGTGAGAATGCCTCCAGGGTTGACCCAGAGACAGGCCCTGCCATTTTGCACCTGAGGCAGAGCCTGGCCTCCCAACGTGAAAGCCAGTTCTTTCTCTGAAAGGCTATATCATCCCTTTTATGATTGGTTTTCTTCTCTTGACAGTTTTGTTACATATTTTGTCATTAGAGTGGATTCTCCAAAGTCATTCCATTGGGCAAGCATTTGTTGAGCATGGGATAGACATAGCACTCTGTTCACCAAGATGAGGATGCAAAACAAGGGGAAAGATAATAGAGAAGTCATAGTCTTTGCCATCAAGAAAACCTTCTATTACATTACTCTTTTCTGCTGGTCTCAATGGTAGTTTGACTCCATCTTGATTCTGTGAGCACTGAAATGAAATTTGCCACTTAGAAAATTTCTTTGAAACAAAGTATAGTGAAAGACCATGAATGTAAGAGAAGTACAGGAGCTGGCATACAAAATCCCCGTGAATGTACAAAGACCTCAGTTATTTCTCATTTTCACAAACCTTTGCATGTGTCTCAAGTACAGGAAACTTAAACAAGTATGTAATATAAAATCTTGATATCTATCATTGTATATAAATGCTACAGATAGACACAATAAAAGGAGATATCCTGAAGTAGAAAAATAATTTTATGTTTATTTTTATGATAGTTTTATTAATAAATAAAGCTCAATAGTCACTAATTAGTAAAGGAATGTAAGTACACTTAGATATAGATAAGACAACAGAGATGTAGAAGGGACACAGACAAAAACAGGCAAGACAAATATGCACACAGGGAGACAGATGGCAGAAATATATCCTGGAGGAACCTGTACTGAGTAAGAGGCTATGTCCTAGCCACTTGAAAACACAAAGAAATCAGAGACCTAGATAATAACACTTCAAGCCATCAACAACTGGTGATAGAAAACTTTCAACACCTTCTTACCAAGTGTCTGTTCATTTTCTTCTTTTCAGGGTGACTCAGGTGGCCCTTTGATCTGTAAAGGTGTCTTCCGTGCCATAGTCTCGAAAGGTGATAAATGTGGTGTTGCTAAGAAGCCTGGAATCTACACCCTGTTAACAAAGAAATACCGGGATTGGATCAAACACAATCTTGCCTCACTTCACACATATTAAGTTTGCTAATCATTTGCTTGGATCCATCATTTATTTGTTTAGTTTTCCCCATAATATGCTTACAGATCACATTATTGTCAGATGTAGTTGGATATAGGTGAAGCCACTTATGTAAATTTCCATGCCCTCAAGACTCATGTGCCAATGAACCTAATTCTTTTCTGTGCGTATCGCTGATGTATCCTTACCATATTGATGTCATTCTAAATAAAATTAATAGACTTTTGCTTGCCATTTATGGATATGAAGTAATATCAGCCTTTATTCCACCCACACTCCCCAAAAGGCCAATAACGTGTCTAACAGACTCAGTAATGGTATCACTTTAATCAAGTTTATGTTGTAACTCTTGCTGAATCCTAGTAAGTTGTTAGGGTGTTTGCTGTGAGATAAGTTAATATGAGATGAATCTCTTGACAAATTTTAAGTGTAAAAGTCAGTATTATTAACTATAGGCACAGTCGTATAGAGCAGGTTTCTAGAATCGATTCATCTTGTAAAACTGAAACTTTATACCAGATGAATAACAATTTCCCATCTTGCTCATCCTTGGCCTTTGGTAACCACCATTATACTCTGAGTCTCTGTGAGTTTAGGTATCCCGTGTTATATTTTTAAAATAATAGAAATTTTAGCACTCAACTCAATAAAGAAGGATCAAGGTATATACAAATATGTGGGTAGCAAATATTCACACATGTCACATTTTATTCCAGAAATGTTTTAATATAATGTGCACAAATACCTGCAATGCAACAAAATACAGCACTAAAAATAAATTGTGAAGAAAATGGGCCAGAAGGGAAATGAGTAAGAAAGGAGAGAGGAAGGCAAAAGTGCTCATCTGGCACTCACAGTGCAATGTTTCTTCCTATACATTTTCTAGTATGATTCATATTTGGCTCTATTCTTCGCTCAATGCACAAAAGATCAGCACAATCAGTTATGTGAATTATGGTATCCAGGAAATAAAAGTAAATTTTTTCCCAGAAGTCAGATCATTGTACAAGAACTGAAACTACAGAAAACTTCTTTCCCATGGTTCTCTTAAAAGATACCATGACAATGCATACATCATTAAAATATCACATGATGCCCCATAACTATATATAATTTTATGTGACAATTTAAAATAAAATATTAAAATATAACTATAAAAACAAGACTATTCTATGTTTCCCATGTCCCTAATCAACTGCATCAGAATCACTTGAAATTATTAATACTGATTGCCTTGACCTCTTGTCTAGAAATTCAGATTAAATGAGCTTGAGATGGCCTGGAAAATTTGTAATTCAGTTGATTCTGATATATGGGCAAATTTGAAAGCCACCAATAATGAACATCCTTAACAATAGCTTAGAATAAAGACAACAGTAAATGTCAAGGGATTGTTTTTTATAAATCTTGCAGTGTGAATCAATGACAAGACCAAAACACCATTCACCTACTGATTATAGTGCAAACATTTCTAATTCGGGTTGAATTAAGGTAGTAGGAGATAAGGGGTTCTCTCTTCCTTTAACAATCAAAAGCCAAAAAATTAATATCAGCCTTTATATTTAACCTGGACCTTATTTAACCTAGATAAACAATCCTTGTTTCCAAGTGACATTAAGCTCCTATTTTCATATAGAGATGGATGCTTTTATTTCTTTGTCTTTTGTCATGGTTCTTAGAAACCACTAATGTCTACTACCCTGAACTTCTTAGAAAAAAAGAAGAGCTAGATATCAAATAAAACAACCTAACAAAAGTTTACAACTGCTTTGATAACAAACTAGGAAGTTTCTTTAAAGATGCCATCTTGTGTCATTTTGATTCATTAAGTACACTGATTATGAAAAACACTGACTATACAATTACATTTTACAAGAAGTTGAAAAAAATATGAATTCTCTGGATTTATTAGTAAAAATTAATTCTGTGTTTATTTCATGTAAATTTCTTTTCCTTTTAACTTTTATTAATGCATGTTTGCAGTGCATAATTATTATATTCACTATAAGAAACTGGTACAGTACTTAACACATTTCAATTCTTTTTTCCCCTTCCCTCTACCCCTCTTTTTATTTTTCCAGCATCAAATTTATTTATTTATTTATTTATTTATTTATTTATTTATTTATCTTAGAAGGCCTTATGAAGTTAAGTATCATATATATAGATTGCAAACCAGACTAAAAGGTCAAGGAACATATAAAATATGTAAGACAATTGCACTGTCAAGGTATACTTTTAGGTACATTGTTCATGCTAGATTGCAATAATTTTTCTCTCTTTTTGTTCTATTATCTGTTTCCTATTTTGATATATATATGATATTTCAATATCTACATAAGAAGCTATTCATATAAAAACTCATGTGACATTTAAATTTGTGTCTTATTTACTTCACATTATGACCTCAAGATACAATCATTATGGTCTCATTTCTATAATTGACTCGTTTATCCTTCTGTATGGTAAAATAGTATTCCATTGTATATAAATATCACATTTTCTTTATCTATTTATCTGTTGATGACATACATTCTGTTTCCAAGATTTAGCTATTATGACTTGTGCTGCTACAAACATATATTTGCATATATCACTGTGACACGATATCTTTAACTCTTCTGTGAAGATACCCAGAAGGGAAACAGCTGAGTCAAAAAGAATTTCTATTTTTAGTTTTTGTGGAATTGCCACACTGATTTCCATATTGGCTGTATCAATTTAGTCCCATCAACAATGGAGAGGGTTTTTTCCTACCACAGCAGCCAGTAATTGTTATTGGTTGATTTTTGATGAGAGTTATTCCGCCTAGAGTGAGATGTATTTAATTGCATTTCTCAGTTGGCAAGTGATGTTGAATATTTTTCATGTATTTGTTGCCCTTTTGTATTTCCTTATCTGAGAAATTTCAAATTCATGAAACATATCATCATACATCTAATCAAAAAGATTGTTGATATTGTCCTTGATGCAGTTAATGAGCATTCTGAAAAGCTAAAACATAAGCATTATATTTTGATTTCAGACTCCATGCTGTTAACATCCAATAGTTTAAAGAAGCCAGTTTTCCAGACAGAAAACTTGTTTGAAAAGCTAAGACAGACCTGGAAACTCTAAAGTGTGTCTCCATAAGCTGCTGGTGACGGAGCCTAACTGAAATGCACCCCTCATCCTTTCAGGGAAGGAATATTTTGTTAAACCTAACAATACCTCCCCAGCATAGCTTAAAATACTGTGTTAATTTGGAACTGTCTTTGAGAATTTATTTGATTTTACCTATGACCTCCAGAGGAAGGAGCGAGTCAAACACCTAGATTTTAAAACTAAAAGAAATGATCTCCTACAGTCATTCTGAATCATCCACTTCCTCCCTTCTTTGTGGCTGTGAACACAGTGCATTTGCCTTCCCCACAGACATAAAAGAAGGGTTCAGGTTTTATTTTATTTATGAACATCCTGTTTTAATACAATGTCAGTTTTAAGAACAACTAAGTTCAAATATAATACATAAATAAACCAGTATTGATTAGAATAAGTCATTAAAGCAGGCTAGAGCCAGGCAGCAGCATTAATCCTTCCTTTTGACTTTCATGGTTTTTGCACTTTGCAGCTTGTGTCTAAATGATATGAAAAACCAGCTTCCAGCTTGATTAAAGGAGGACCATGGGTGAATCACAGTAATTTGTCCTCTTTGGTTAAACTTTTATTTTGGGAAAGAATACTACTATAGACTAGACCTTATCTGCCTCCAAATTCATATGTTAAAGTCCTAACCTTAAGTATAACTAATTGGAGATGAGACCAACAAGAAAAATCAAGGTTAAATATCATAAGAGTGGGAGCCTGAGTCAATGAAATCATCCGTCTCTTCTTCCCCCTCCACCATGTGAAGACACACTAAAAAGCAGCCTTCTAAAATGGGAAGAAATAGGTCCTCCCTGGAAAAGGAATTGACTGGTGCCTTGACCTTGTATTTCCCAGCATTCAGAATGGTGAAAAATAAATTTCTATCACTTAAGCCACTTAATCTGCAGTATTTTTTTAAAAGCAGCCCAAGGTGACAAAACAGACACACATGTGACGAGGGAAAAAGAAACTGTGCTCAACTTTTCCCAGGGCCATGTACCCAGGAGCCTCAAAAAGTTTCCCAGTATTACTAAGACCCCCTCCCACCCCAAGCAGCTACTCATATGTTGTCTGATGAGTAATTTGAGGACAAAGTGCATCCTGCCTAAACAGTTCGGCTCCTTGTGTCTTGAATGACTCAGCTCTGCTTTAAGCTTTCACACGTTGACTTCCTGTTGATAAAACAGGACTGTCAATTTCTTTAGTCTTTTGCTAAATTGTATCAGTCAACTCTAGGTTGGCAAATGTTATGCATCACCTCTTTTGTATGCTGTGGCTGCTAAGATCTGCACTAAGACAAAACTCTACCCTTCATATTATAAGGAAGAGAAAAGAAATTAATGCCAGTTTTTCTGTTTCACCTCCAACTATAAAAGTTATAGCTACAGTGCATGTTAAGTGCTTAATTAAGACAGAAAAGACACAAAGTTATAAGGTTTGGTACTATTCATAGTTTCAGGCATCAACTGAGGTTTTGGAATTTATTCTCCATGGACACAGAGGGGCCACTGAATATATCCCCTCTTAATCCTAATAATAAAATCAGAAACCTGATAAGTATCTGTTTCTATCATTTGCCCCAAACAATGACAAGCATGTAGCTTTATTCCCTAATACCAGGCCCTTCCAAATTCTAAATAGCTTTAACTTTCCATCTTATTTAAGCAGAAAAGTTACATTTAAATATCATATCTCAATAAACCATTTTCTACCTCACTTCTCTATCTAAAGCCTAACATAAAGAAAATGCCAAGGATGACCCAAGAAGTTATTTTTACCTTAATCACATACTGGTGTATGACAAATATATTTATTCTTATTATAAAAATAATACATGGTGGTGAGTCATCTGTAACAATATTTTCTCCTTTTGTGTATATTATGTAAGTGGATCGTATAGAACTGTTTTTTGTAAAATTCTGTGAAAGTAATGTTTCCTGGCATTTGAGGTTATTAATTGTTTTATTATTTCACAATCATTTGAAATAATATAGCATTTTTTCCATTCAAACTCCAAAAGTAACTCCATTGGAAGATAGTAGGATACTATGTAATGTCCTGAATGTTAATACTATCCTATTAAACAAAGCAGATTCCTATGTGGTCAGACTC